AATGGATGCTGAGCATAAGAAATGCATCCATAAACCCAAGGCAAAAGGAGTTTTTCATCTTGCCCCTTCGGAGATCTAGCTGTACCCAAGGCACTACTCCTCTGTGAAGAGAACATATACTTAACCTACAGAGAAGAGTTAAAATTCCTCAAAGTAAAAAGACTTCCAGTGCATTGTGCCCATCTTTCTACTCATTATCCCAGCCCAGAAGGTTGCTTTGGCAGAACGGTCTGGCATCTCCATGGGCCAGTGGCAGCGGGCCCATAGACAAACATTAAACAGGCCATGTACAATCTTGGATTCAGCACAGGACCTGGTGGATGGAAACTTTTCCTTGTGATAGCATTTATCAAGGCAGTGTGATTCGGGTGACAGCCTATGTGTTATGTGAAGACAAGAGGTTAATGTGTCATTTTAATCAAGGCACTCTTCCATATGAGGTAATGCAAAGAGAGACAGGCCAGTCAGTGACAAGACCAGTGCCAGGAAAAGGTTGTACTAGCCACAAGTTAGCTTGGTTAGTCTGTAGTCTGATTAGCTTGCAGTCTCACTCTGCAATACTATGCATGTTGCCTCAAGTGGAGGATCTGACAACAAACTGGGTGCTAGCTTGGAGGTGGATTTTGTGGGTGGCTTGGAAAGTGGGGGCAAGACGTTATAATCCCCTTGTCAACCTGCGTAGTCCAACTGCTGCTGAAACTAAGTGGGGACAGAGTCCTGAGCCCAACAGAGGAAAGTCACAGCATCTATTCTGTTTTCTGTAGGGCAATGGGTGTTTCTGTTGACAGGATTCATAAGGCAGAAGGATTTTTGCAGAACAGTTTCCTTTAAGCAAAATGGCTGAGCTTTGCAAACAGGAGTGTTCAACTGAGACACTCTCTAAGCTACTGCACTGCATTTTATTTTGTCTCACTTATTTTCATTTGTTTGAACAGCGGTTATGCTGGGAGATGGATTCACTAGATGAGGGTAGAATTCGCCATTCTTGCAGATCCATGATTGCTTCTGATGGGATCAGTTTTTCTAACTACCCACTGGATGAGGGTAGAATTCGCCATTCTGTGCTGATTCAATTACAACAAAATGAAGAATCATACTGATGTCACACATTTTCCTAAGGGTAAGACTCAGGGACAGTCTGGTGTGCTGGCCAGGATCACACAAAAGACCACTGATTGAAGCTGGACACACCCAGTGAGTGATGAGAGCTCTATATTCAGCCATTAATCATCAACCAACAGGCATGGGCTACAGAAGGGAGCTGTCCAATGTACCCAGATCAAACCACCAGTAGATGGCTTAGGACTCTGGTACCCACTATAATCCCAAGGGCTCCCCGCATTCCCCCACTCCACTCTCACTTCTTTCCCCAAACCCATCTTCATGGAGAAGTATAGGATAGAGTGCTCCCAGGTTGCAATGGCTTCTCAGAGGCCCTTCTCAGGCAAGCCATTCCCCGACTGCTCTCTGGCTGTATCTCTCCTGCTGCACTGTTGCCATGGAGACTGGACGCCATCTGAGCTCTGTGCTTTTCCTGGAGTTCAGCCTTCAAATACCTTAGTATATTCCAACCCACTCACTCCCCTGACTCCCCAGACTGTGAACATGTCTACTCTGGATTCTTTAGTTTAACAGTGCTGGGGTCACTTTGTCACACTCCACTAATGGTCTGAGAGTTCTTGTTTAAATGCTCATGTGGGGGTGGCAGCCTGTGGTTCCATGGAGGCCCACGCATCCACATCTCCCTCTTTTGTGGAAAAGAAGGGCTGATTTCTTTTTTTTTTTTTTTTTTTTTTTTTTTTTTTTTTTTTTTTTTTTTTTTTTGTCTTTTTCCTTTTTATCGGTACCAGGGATCGAACTCACGACTGCCTGCTTGCAAGGCAGGCACTTATGCCGCTGAGCTAAATCCCCAGCCCAAGAAGGGCTGATTTCAAGGCTTGTGTGGGGCCATAACAGTGCCCAGACAAACTGACTGGTAGGAGAGGTGAACCTGGCCACAGTGGTGCAGGTGGATCGGACCAGCAGATGGGGGGCACCGTGGGAAGTCATAGTGCCCCCTGATTATGAAGAGAGCACTGTGTGGAACAATCACAGTGTACTGGAAAACCAGAAAAGCAGGAACATGAGGAAGCTCATGGAGGTTTCTGGACACAGTTTTGATTGACTCCTTGGCTTGATCCCACCACCCACTTCTTCAGTCATCCCTCAGCCCTCATCAATACCCAGAGTTAAACCACCTCAGAAATCCTGCACATCCTCCAACCGTAGGTGACCAGTGTGTTCTCAGTAATGCCTTTTCTTGTTCTTCCGTCTTATTCCTGTCTGACCACTTCACCTGAATCATCACTGGCTAAAATCTGTGCATTTTCTGACCATTAAAACCAATTCCTGGCTTCATGCCCTTCTCAGGAAGTCAGAGATAAAGCAGGTGCCATCAGTCTGGCTTGCCGGAATTCCCAGGAGAATTCCCTAAGCTCCACTGCTGTGTCTGCTCAGATACTGAGGGTCTGAGCCGCAGTGGTGCACTCCTCTTGCTGAGATCTGTAAAACGGACTGCCACTTTCCCTGTTTTGACGTCATCATCTGCTACAATGCACCCCCCCTTTCTCAGCGTTCATCTTCTCCTTTTTATAGTCTGTGCCAGACACCACGGAGTGCCGCACTGTCCAGCAGGTTGGGCTATTCCCAGCCTAATCTTCAGAGATTGTCACTTAGACAGAAAAAAGGGATCTAGAAAGGTCTGCACGAGACGGTAGCTTCTCCCGTTCTTACCCTGTCTCCACATCCCAGGTGACCTCCCAGTAACACTGAGGGCCTTGAAGCCCTTCTGCCCTGCTTCCTACACTCTGACCTTTTTCTTATTTCTTTACATGGCAAGAAAATTTCTGCCTCACCTTTTCCTGTGGCTCCCACCTAAGAGGCTGGTCTCGATTTGAGCATCACCTTATCTAAGACAGCTAACCTGGTCTAGCATGAGTAGCTGCTGCTTCTTCTCCTTCTCTTTTTGTTACTGGGGATCGAACTCATGACGTTGGGCATGCCAGGCAAGCTCTTATGTCACTGAGCTAAATCCCCAGCCCCAGCAAGAATACCTTCTATGACAGTACTCTTAGTATGCTTACTTTAATTTTTATCCTTGCATTTATTGTCCAGAATTTATTGTTTGCTTCCCTTAAGGAAATGTGAGCTCCATAAGGATGAATTCTATTTTGTTTACTTTTTGATATTCCTTGGCATATAACAAGCCTCGTTAAATATTTGTCAAGTATAAAAAGTTCTACAGCTTAGAGTATCGGGTGTTTCAGGCTGAACTGCCCAGAAGAGGAAGGAGTAAGGCCTGGAATGCATGAGCTGAGAAATCTTGGTTGAGAGAGGCTGTGTTGTTTGAAAAATCCTGATGTGTAGCTCCGTCCCATGTGTTTCGGTGTGAGAAAGCCCACCTCTAAAAGGGCTCCCAGTGATCTTCAGCTCTGGATATTCTTGTCCTTGCAAAGGTAACCTCACTCCCTGAATAGGACTGGCTTGTGTAATAACTATAAAACCTTACGAAAATGATATTGTGTAACCAACAGACTTGGTCATGAAAGACACTGTGGCTTGTATCTTTCTCGTTCTTGGATCACCCACTCTGAGGGCACCCAGCCACCACCGTGCACATTCAAGGAGCCCACAGAGGGAGAGAGGCCTCCTGCCAACAGTCAGTGCCATGGGAGTACACCACCCTGGAAACAGATTCTCTAGTCCCCGTCCAACCTTCAGATAAGTGCAGCCCAGCCTGACTCCATGATTGCAAACCCAAAAGAGACCCCAATTCCGGAATGCCCGAATCCCCCACCCACAGACAGGATGTGAGATAATGTTTATTATTGTTTTAAAATGCTAAGTTTTAGAGTAATCTGCTTCACAACTATAGGTCATTGTCATGAAATGGATGACACTGGGGCTGGCAAACTCAGGCTTGTCTTTATCGGTGGTTTGCTGTGTGGCCCATTTCCCCTTGGTCCCAATTTTATTCTGCAACTCTGAGCAGCCACAAATGCCACCTGTATCCTCAATAAACTTTATTTAGACACAAACAGACACAACAGAAAATACAGACACAGATACAGATTTTTTTTTCTCTATAGAATGAACAAACATCACATACGGAATTTAAAAAGTAGATGCATGAAATGTAAGAAAATATTGCAAAGTTCCTTGTTCACGCACACTTGAAACAAACATTTCAGAGGAAGACAGGGATATGCTATCCTGACAACAGGATTCACATTTGGTCTATAAGAACACACAGGTGTTGGGAAGGTAATCAGAGGAATTAGGGATCCAGTTACTCTTGGTGTGATAGAATGCTCACAACACTAATAGGACTCTGTTTAAATAAAAGACAGAATCTAGGAGGAATCCATACCCCCTGCACAGATGCTCTGCAAGCTGTCAGCTAGGTCATAAAGCAACTTGCAGAATGCTAGATTAGCTTTCGTCTTGCGGCTTGAAGGGCTGCATAACCTCTATTTTTGTGTCCACACCATAGAGTTTTACAGAGACACACTTAGGACATGAAACTCTCCACATGCACGCTGGTTTGGAAACCTGTAGTATTAGGACACTGACATCAGGTTATAAAACGTGGCTTTCACATGGGAAGGGAAGAGCCAAAAGGTGAACGCATACTTTGTAAATGATGCTACATCCATTGGTAGTGTTTTCACCATGCTGTGTGTGGTCCCCTTCTATGGGCAGCCACCAGTGTCTGTGGCTGCTCCCTGCCAAGCGTGGAGCAGGATGGATGTCTCTTGGAAGTCTATCACTCTAAAGTTACACATGTGATGTCCTGGTCAGTCCTGTCAGAAGCTATGCATCTCCCCAGGACAAGCTGCCATGGGACCTCCCCATTTATTCCTGTCCCAGTCAAGCCTCTGGCCGCCACACCATCTTCACATTTCAGACTGGGGTTCCCTAGGCAACCTCTGAATGTTAGTAAAAAATAGTTTCCACTGTACCCTTCGTGTGTCCTCTTCCTAAAGTGACAAATCCAGATGAGATGAAGTTATGGAGATCTGGTCCTCCACTTCGGTAAGCATCCTTCCCATAATGCCCTGCAAGAAGATGGGGCAGAATTACCTGGCGCATCCATGACACCAACACACAAGACAGCTGCAGCTCCATCTCAGTAAAGGCGGTGGTGTGCTGTGTTCAAACCAGCGGCTAAGTCAGAAGATAGAACTGGCCGAGGGAAAATGGTAATATATCACGTATATTACCGAGAATATATTTCTCACTATATACATATACACACAGATATGTATATGTATATATTATGGTGTAACAAAGAATAACGTTATGTTGAAAATGCAGGAGTGGGACACATGGCTTGATTTTTGGCATTTCTGACTAAGCACAAAGCACATCAAAATAGTACTTTATAGATGTTGCTCAACTTACCATGGAGTTACATCCTGATAATCCATGGCAAGCTGAAACATCCTGAGTCAAAATGCATTTAACAGACACAATAACTTAGCAACGCAGCACACAGTGTCTGGCTTCTCTTTGGGGTTGCACGGCTGACAGGCTGCTGTGGCTCACTGCGTTGTGTTATGTAGGGAAAGAGCATCCTACCACACATTGCTACTCCAGGAACAGACCAAAATTCAAAGACCGTTGCTGCTGCCTATGTGTTCTTTTCGAACTATAGCAAAGTCAAAATAAAATCGAACACTGAGCCACTGTCAGTCAGACCTTCATATTTGTTCTATTATCCTTCTCTCTCATCTCTATTCTTTCTCCTTCTTGTTTTGCACATTTGATTTCTTTCTTTCCATAGCAAGCAAGAATTGGCCTGGTGGCGTCGGTTCTATATATGTACATCTGTATGCATTTACAAATCATATGCAATATATGAGACAGTAAACTTAGGGGAACTTCTACAACTGCTAATCCTAACAAGTAGAAAGATGGTTATAAAACACTGGGAAAGTATTTATGTATTTCCTTTTTTAACTTTCTGTAATAGGAATGTACCTCTCATCAGCTGGATACAGACTTCTACCTGTGGGCTTGAGGTAAGCAAAAGGCTGAGGGTAGGTTAAGAACTGCAGGGGAAGAAATTCAGAGAAGTTAATATTCCACTTCTGACATCCAAAGTAAGGTTTCACAATACGCTTGAATATAGGCATTGTTAGGAAAGAAAGGACTCTAAATGCCACCCTAAAGTATGTACATGCAAAAATAGAGAAAGTCACATTCTTTTCCCATTGTCATACACACACATTAAAACCGTACTTATAATTACAATATGTGGGAAACTACTTAAGATATAAATTTAAAATGTAGATAGAAGGTGCTATATTAAATGTGATAACAGAGCTATTAAAATTCCAGTTAATGCATTACAAGCCCCCAAAACACTGAAAAGACTGAAAGAAAATGCACAATGATATTGGAAGCTGCCCTTGCATGGCTGGAACATGAGTGTTAACTGATTTCTCCTTTTGACTCTCCTATAGTTTTTTCTATATTGAATACAATACTTTATAATATAAATAGGTGAAAATAAACAACAGCTATCAGAAAATGAATGGTAAATGCAAATACAGACCAATTATCTTCCTTAGCAGACCACACTCCAGACCCACAGATATCAATCTCAGGTGCACCATGAAACCACAGGAGAGAAGGCTTTTAAAAATAGGTGCTCAGATCAATCCTTGAGATTCTAATGGAGGAGGGCAGAGTCAAGACCTAGGCAAGGGTATTCTGGAAAATCTCTGCTCTTGTATCAGAATAAGGAGAACTACTGACCTAGTACAAGTGGAGAAACAAGTCAGTGTGAGTTCACGTAAATGTGATCAATGAGTATTTGTTGGGATTTATGGTCAGGGCTCCATGCTCCTCCTCTGGAGGACTGTACCAAGTTCCTCCACATCTCAGTCCTTGGCATGCATAAAAGTACCTGGAGAGCTTATTAGAGATCACTAGGGCCCACTCCTGGAGTTCCAGATTCAGTAGAGGTGGGATAGATCTAAAGAGCTCCCGTATCTAGAGCTAGGTGTGGTGGCACACACCTGTAACGCCAGCACTCAGGAGGTTGAGGCAGGAGGATTGCTGTGCATTCAAAGCCAACCTGAGCTACGTAGTGAGTTCAAGGCCAGCCTGCACTACCAAGTGAGTCCCTGTCTCAAAAAACAAAAAAGAGTTTGCGTATCCATTAAGGTGACACTGATGTTGCTGGCCCAGGGAGACACTTTGACAGTGGTAGTCCTGGACCTCCCGCTTTAGGATCATGGGAATTTTGCCACTGCCTCCCTCAACTTTGGAAATGAATGACTTCATTTCTTAAGGCACAGGGCTTTTCATGAGGTGCATTCTCCTAAAATCTTGTGGTCTCGATGCACAGTTTTCCAGAATTCTCAGGGCTGAACTAAAGGCTTCTGGCCATATCTCAGGCTATGTGGCAGCTGGGATCATGACCCATTACCTGTAGACATGTGTCTTCCTCAGAGAATGGGTAGTGGCCCGAATATTACCACTCCAGGGAGTGGTGGGCCCCTTCCTCTGTAACAAACATATCACCCTCTCCCTTTCTCAGCAAATCACAGATAAGTAAGAAAAGAAAGTAGCAATTCAGAGCCCTCATAAATTTGGACCTCATTAATTCAGAACCTGGGACAGATCCTGCAGAATCTGGGCTGGTTTATTTTTGTACTCCTTATAAATAAAATTTTTGATAAACAAATCAATACCAAGGAAGATAGAACATAAAACCATGCCTGTGCTATTTACAAATCATTCTTATCTGTCAGCTGGAACAAGGTCCCTGGGGCTAAGCACTGCTCCTATGCTTCGGGGCTCTGCTGGTGGAACAGAAGTTTCCAGGTCACCTGCCTGTAGGTCAGGCAGAGGTAGGGAGCCCCTGAAAATACAGTTTATTTTTTAAAATCTGTGACAGCTAACATTTTATGGTATTTTGCAGTTGACAGTGAATTTTTTTACACACACACACACCCTTCACTTAACGTTTTAATCAACATTGCCTGGTAGATGGTTTTTATTATTATCTCCCATTTTGTTAATGGAAAAATAAAGGCGAGCCGATGCTTGGTTCCAGGTCCTTTGACTTTAAATACTATGTTAACATCACTGTGCACACCTGCTTTGTTTACTCATCCCCAAGAACCTTGTGGAAAACTGTCACTTCTCCAAGTCCGTGGAACATGGAACTTGTCCACGGAAGCGCCTCGTTTTTCGACACGCCTAGCTACTTTCCAAGTACCATCTTTCCACAAACCTCACCTGTGTGGCTTGATGGGAGCACTCTGTGACTCTTCCCCAAGTCTGTAGCCAAGACATGTAGCGGAAATGTGGGGTCTAGGGAAATTTCACTTGATGACACCCAAAGTGACAGACGATGAAGCTCAGAGGTATTGAGTTTCAAGTGCTCAGGTTTTGAATAGGGCAAAAAAGAAAAGATCCGAAGGGGTAGTGCCACAGGACCAAGAACATTACACTGTAATAAAGAATTCTGGGACCCAATGAGTTTGGAAAATAGTAAGTTAAAGTGAAAAGCTATGTGAACTTCAAGTCAGAGGCAATGAGCTCTGAATCCTCTACAGAATCTTACATTTTAAAAGTGCATCTTATGGGGTTGGGGATTTAGCTCAGCGCCATAAGCGCCTCCCTTGCAAGCAGGTAGTCGTGAGTTCATTCCCCAGTACCGATAAAAAGAAAAAAAAAAAAAAAAAAAAGCGCGTCTTATTATGGTTAACTTTGTGGGGGAAGCTTCTTGTGAGGTTAAGAAGAAAAACACAGGAGCACAGTTTCAGATTTTGTTTGAGCTGTGGGCCTCCAGCACAAAACCTTTAGATGACTCAGAAATTGCTGGGTTCTGTCTCTGGAATTCCTAATCAGGTCAGAGGTGAGGTTTGGTGATCCCATCTCTAAAAAGTTCCAAGTGATGCAGACCTGGAACTACAGACCACATTTCCAGTGAACTATTTTATTAGGCATAACCACAAATCAGTCTTCAGCTAGACATGATGAAATTCTAGAGTGATTTTCATTGTCTGTACCCTCAAAAGGTTAGGATGAACAAAGGCATCATGAAAGGAAGAAGAGCTGGTAAACACGAAGTCCCATGCACACAGACAATCCCAAGACAGGGGAGTCAGTGTCACTTCTGTTAGTTGGTAAAGCACACAGTTGAGGAGTGGATGGAGTGAATGGGTATCACAGTATTTGTTAGCTGTAACACAAAGAACCACTCTCAGCTCTATCCAGTTGCAACTCTCTTGAGTCACTGCCTATCTGCCGGCTATCAGGGCCAGAGGACAAGGAATACAAACACTGACCAAACTGCAATTCTAGGCAAATAACTATACATCCAGAGGAGCTCTACGCACAAGTAAGCAAGAGCTTTGTGAAGCATCCCAGTAAAGTACCACAAGCACTCCCCACATCACAGTACGAATACAGAGTCTGTGCCAGGACAAGGGTGTTTCCAGGCTTCAGAGGACACTGATCCCTATTTGCTGAACTCAACAGTGTGATGCACCATCCAGATGACATATCTGTCCCCACTTGTACTGCTGCACCCTGTCCATTAGCAACTCTTGTTGTTGAGACAAAATACCTGATGTCCAAAGTGAAGCAAAGAAAGGTTTATTTCTTACAGTTTGGAGGTTTCAGTCCATACTCGGTTGGCTCCAAGGCAGGACGGCATAGCTGAAGGGCAGCTATTCATGGCCACCACAAACAACAAGTGTGAACAGCACAGAAGAAACACAAAAATCATGTTTTCTTTCTGCCCTTACACTGTATTTTGGCTCCACTTCTGGGAGGGTCCAGCATTCACCTTGCCAATTCCAGTGCTAGACAACAAACCAATCACAAACACTGCATTCAGCCACAGTCATAATTTCATGAGGCTTGGGTGGGGAGCATCTGAACACAAACCATAACATTCCACCCCTGGTCCCCCAAAGACTCATGCACATCCTTTATGCAAAAGACATTTAGTCCATCTCCAAGTGCTGTCAAAAGTTTCAGCATTACTGAAAAGTTCAAGGCCCAAGTCTCTTCTGAGATCTAAGGCAAACTC